AAATAAAAGGCTGGGGATGTAGCTCAATGTGAAAGGCCTTGGTTCAATGCCCAGTGCCACAAAAACAAACGCACACAGAAAAAGAATTTAGAGATAACTAAAGGAAATCGCTAAGAGACTGCTTAAGAAAGCCACAGCACCACAAATCCAAGTGTTTGAAAAAAATTTTTGATTTTAGGATTTTTTCCAAGTTTTAAGAAGTTAGAGGCGGGGCCGGGGAGATGGCTCAGTGGAATATGCGCTTCCCTGGCAAGTGCAAGGGCCTGAGTTCAATCCCCGGTTCCACCAAAAAAAAAAAAAAAAAAAGGAAGTTAGAGGCAACAGGGAACACTGAAAGAAAAGACACTGACATTCATCTATCCTGAGTAAGATTTGATGAAACTACCCAGCAGTTGTCCAAGGGCAGTCTGGAAGATCACCTACCTGAAGAAGCCACTCAGAAGCAACTCTACCTCCTTGTGGGTCCTTAGGTACTTTTCATTAGCAATCCGGGCCTGGATCTGCGGAGCAAAGAGTAAAGGGTCACGCGCCCTGAAGGGCCGATCCGGGTCCAACCTGGAGGTGGAAAGACTGGGAGAAGCAACCAGCGCGTGTAAGCCTGGACCTTCCCGGGGTGCTACCCGCTTAAGCCCCGCGACTTCCTTCGACATCTCTTCCCCTGCCTTCAGCTCAGACTTTGGAACTTCCATTAAGGTCGGATCCCGACCGAAGTTCTTTCTACTGTACCTAACTTGACCTATTTGGCAGTAATTTCGGCCTATTTCTCCGCGAGATTCCTGCTTTAATTTTTCCTACACTTGCAGTCTCGCGTCCAGCTTGGCTTCGCGGCCGGGAAGCCCCAAGATCTACCCAGAGGTGTCCCCGGGGCCCTCCTCGATCTGCGCACGGCTCCCCCAGCCTCCTCCTCTCACGGCCCCTCTCGCTGTCTGGGGGGCCTTGTCCTGGGAAACAGCATTTAATGGAGGCGGCCGTGGGGAGTACGAACTCATGCACCTTGAATTTCCGCAGCTGCTCCAGCCGCTCGGGACTCAGCACCACAGGCTCGGGTCCCAGCCGCCGGTCCTGTGGCGCCGCCATCTTGCCGCGGTCGTCAAGGCGACGGGCCGCGGGCTAGCGAGGCCCCGCCCTCTGCCCCGCCCTTGTCCCCGCCCCACCAATCCTCCCTCACTCCATCCACCCGGCTTGCTAGCGAGAGAATCCCAGGAAACCTTGGGGCCCAGCTCTGCAGCTAAGACGCGACCTTGAGGGACAGGGGTGAGGGCTCCGATGAATATAAATTTGGGACTGATTTCTCACTTACTGGCCTTACCTAATCTCAAGTCATGTTTTTTTCTTAGCCCTAGACTAGGACAAAATAGGAAAAAGTTTCCTAAGACCGGCTCTCTCAGAAGTTGGTTCCTTACCTGGTCAGATGCTGGAGGAATCTTGGAGCTTATCCAAAGCTTATCCAAGCTTTTTTCCTTACCAACCTTACATGGTTCCTGTGGACATTTGTCAGTGGAGTCTTGGACCCAGAGCACCCAGAGCACACTTTTGCAAAGGAACTTTCTCAGGATGCTGGAAAAGACCTGCGGGAGCATCCTTGCACAATTTCCTCCTTTAGGTTGTTTTTTATTTTCTTGCCTTGTTTGTTTTTGGTCTTTTTTGATTTTACCTTTTTTTTTTATTGAATTGTTTTTTAGGAGAGGTTTATTTTTTGTTTTTGATGCCAAGGACCAAACCCAGGGCTTCCAGCTTGCTAGGCAAGCATTCTTCCGCTGAGCCAAATCCCCAGCCTCATGGTTTTTGTTTTAGTTTTAGTGCTAGGAATCGAATCTTTGTGCATGCAAGATAGGAGTTCTACCACTGAGCCACATCCCCAGCGCCAGCACCCCTTTTTGAACTGCCTTTTTTTCTTGTTTTGTTTTGATTCGTTGGGTTTTGTTTGAGGATCTTGCTATGTCGTGCAGGTTGGCCTTGAACTAACCAAAGTTCTGCCTCAGCCTCCCAAGTGCTGGGATTACAGGTGTGTGTATTTTTCTTCACCCTATACACTTCATAAATTCTAAATTATTTCCCCCACTCTCCATTAAATATGGAAAGAAAAAGAGAATTGGTCTTTTTTTTTTTTTTTTTTTTGGTGGAACCGGGGATTGAACTCAGTCCTTTGCGCTTGCCAGGGAAGCACTTATTCCACTGAGCCATCTCCCTGGCCCCCAGAGAATTGGTCTTCAAGGTTTGTTTTTCTAGGTTCTAATTAAGAAAGGCAAATGAAACATAAAACCAGAAAGCCGAAAATAGTGATGTGGAGAGGGCAGGAGCCTGTCTGTCAGTACACACACAGCAAGCTCCCACACCCACACCAAGCTACCACACCCACAGATATCACAACTAGCTGAGGCCTTCTGAGGGGGTGGAGAAGAGAACCCACAAGGGGGTCTGCCTTTTCGGATTTCTGAACAACTTCCCCAAGGAGCGAAGAAATAGCTTGAGAAGTGAGCTCAGCATCAGCCACTGGGACAGAGGGAAGGGCTTCCTTAACAGTCTGCCTCTATTTTTCTCAGCAAAGACTGGGAACTCAGAAAATGTTGATAGTTCCCAGGCCAGGAAAGAGGTCAATTGCCAGGAACCCCTTCTAGGTTAGTAATCCTTTTGGTTGGTTGTCTGTTTTTCAGGGGGGAGCGTGAATAGAGAGGGAGATAAGCAGCCATCTGTCAGAAGGGTTATTTTCTGACAGGACCAGTCGCTAACTAGACCTGCCTGTTTCTTACTGGACAAGCCCCAAAGAAGCAAATGAAGAAGCCTGGAGCTGCACAACCCCGTATGGCTACCCTGAGCCCCTGCACTCTCAAACATCTGGAATATGACTGTGCTAGATGTGCTGGAAATAGAAAATGGACTCTGTATACTGAAGGCTTAGTGAAAAAGTGTAGAATAACTCCTTAACAACTTGGTATTGGTTACATGTTTACATATTACTTTGGACATAGCAAGTTAAATAAAATCCATTATTAAAAGTAATTTTAGGGCTGGTGAGATAACTCAGTGGTCCAAAGCGCCTGCTTAGGAAAGCTTAGGCAAGCATGCAGGGACCTTGGTTCAATCACCAGCACCACATGCCATGCCAGCCCAACCTCCAGGGTGGGCTGAGCTGACCATAGAAAAAAAAGGAAAGAAAGGAAACATTAAAAAAAATTAAAAAAGTAATTTTACTTTTTTAATGGGCATTGGAAAATT